TTTCCCACTTTTCCGTATTAAGTTTAAGGTTTTTACCTAAGGAAAAAATGTATATATTATACTGATTTTCCATAAAATTTATACGTTATAAAACTTAATATTTTTATGGAATTTTTATATCAAATTTTTTATTGGGTAGCATAGTATCATCTTTTTCTAATTACATCAGATTTATGTATCTAGATTCATCTGTCCTTACAGGTGAAAAAAAAAGACAATTTGGTAATGTTGGCTATCACTATATTTAAAGACTTAGCCTAATTCTTCATTATAACTATCTAGATATAATCTCTCTAAGAATTTAGGCCTTTAGAGTGAAAATTTTTATGTAATAAATCCTCAAATATATATTAGCATGTTCTTTCCAATACATTAGGACAAATGTTGCATCATCTATAATTTTGTTTTATATTTTTATATGACGCCTTCTATTGATGGCCCTTTTTACATAACTATAAATAAGTATTAAGACTAACTTTGCTTAAACATCTTCCTTCACGTCTCTAGACATATGTCAGAGCTTTAATATCAATTTTGTCTTGCATTTTATATACATAATAGAATATCATATACAGAAATTTACAGTAATGAACACTAGCATCTAACTAGTTTAATCAGAAGAATTAATATATTCAAACTGGCGAGTTACACCTCTAGGTATATTTAAGGTCAGATTATATGATTCAGAGATCAGAAATTTGAAAATAGAAATTGAAGTTAGCCAATATTATTACACAAAAAAAATATATAAATAATATTATAGCTACAATAGGGACTCACACCTTACGGATTAAGCCAGAATCGCCAATCCTTTCCCCTATCATTGGAAAAGTTAAAACCATCAATAATGATATAATATTTGTACAATACTATATAGCTACATATGATACTAACTTTAGAGCAGATATCAACCCTTGTAATAGATGTAGCCTCTTCGATCCTACAGCAATTGTTACAAACGTTCGAACAAATATTCACAACTTCTGCGCCATAAAACTCCCATCACAATTTTGCACAGAAATCAAAATACAGTACAACAAATATATAGGATGGAGCAGGGTTAGTCTGGCTACGAGTTTATTGAACCTCAATAACCAATAGCTAATAATAATATAAGCCAGTGATAGTTTATTTAGTTATTAGCTATTGAGGCGTAAATTGGCTACTTGTTCCAATAAACACAATAAACTTTAATTTGGCTGATCATTTATTGAAGTTTATTGGAGTTTATTGTCCAACGTCATTTAAAAAATTAATTATCGATCAAGATGTAATAATAATGTAACCAAAATAATTTTTTTTTTCAGGAAAAAAAGTTTTTTTTTTTGTTAATTGCCTTTTTTTCGTTTGTAAAATTCAAAAGGAAGGAAAAAAAGTTTGCCTAACTTTCTTCCGTGTATTATCAGAAGAAAAAAAAACTAGCATATAGGGAATTATTATTCCTCTTAAATGCTAATTTTCGAAAAGTTTTTTTGTATTTTTTTTTTATGTAAAAAAATAATATAGCACTGCGGGATTAATTTAGTATTTGTACTCAAATTTTATAATTAATATTATCAATCGGGTTACCCTTTTTACTTTTATACTTTCGTTTTAATCAAAACTTTTGATAATGTCAAAAAAACCACACGGTAGTAAACCACCACACAAATAGACCGGTTACTTCTGTATTTCAGATGAAAAACGGAATAAAACTTATAAGACTGCTAAATGTTTAGCTTGTATTAATGCTAATGATCTGTCATTGATAGTTGAAGAAATAAATAATAAGAGAGAAAATGTCGAAACCATTTAAGAGATTGTTCACGATTTAAGGCTCAATTTAATGAAGAAGAATGGGCTTCTATATATGCTAGTATTCTTTAGGAACAAAAAGATGATCGTCAAAAACGGTTAAAAAAAGCACATAGTAAAAAACGTTCAAGAGAAGTTTATGATGATAATCAAGATGTAACTTCTTTAGTTTCTACACTACCAAGTATCAATTCAACAAGATCCTTATCTACACAATCTACACAACCTACTTTTACTGATACTCAACCAAGTAATGATAGTATTCTTTTTTATATGCCTCAGCGACTTACTACCGAAAGTACTAAACATTGGCATAATCTTGTATTAAGAACTACTGTATCTTGTAGTTGGCTATTTAGGTGGGTAGAAAATGATGAAGCACGAGAAATAATTCATTTTGCCAATCCAGCATTACCTTTACCATCAAGAAAAAATCTAGCTGGAAATATTTTAGAAGATACAGCAAAAGATATTAAATTATCACTTGAATCAATTGCACAATCAGAAAAAATTAGTCTTACAGTTGCATTCGATGGTTGGAAGAATATAGTTAAGCAATCAATTCTTAGAACTGTAATAATTACATCATCAAGACGTAGTATTGTGTGGGAAGCAAAGGATATTTCTGCTGAACAATCAAGATCTGAAGAAGCTATTAATCAAATAGAAACCTGGTTAGATGAAAATAAAAAAAAAGAATTAAAAATTATTTGTGTAGTTATGGATTCTGCTGGTGCATATACTGCAGCTAGATCATATTTACGTCAAAAATATCGTGAATTGTTATTTTTATCTTGTTTTGCGCATCAAGTTAATCTAGTTATAGGTGAAATATTCAAAGAATCTTCAGATTATCATGAAGTATCAACTAAAGCAATAGAATTAGTTTCATTTTTTAATACTTCATCTTATTTTTTGGGAAAACTTCGTGAAGAACAAAAATCAATTTATGATAAAGTAATTGCTTTACAACATCTATGTGTAACAAGATGGAATAGCCATTATATATGTTTTAATAGTTTAGTTAAAACTGAAATTGCACTTAAGATTCTTGTTACTAAATATGAAAATTTATCAACCTGAGATAAACCTTTAAAAGCTTCTATTTGTAATATAATTAAGGATGATGAATTTTGGTCTAATTTGACGATTCTTAGAGATCATTTAATTCCTTTATGTAATGCACTTGATAAACTTCAATGAGATGCAGCAAAATTATATGAAGTTTTATATTACTTTGGATATTTTTATAAGCTATATAATTGTCACGATAATGTAGAATTTTCAAGAAAAATGATTGATTGTTTGGAAAGGCGTTAGGCACAATGGAAGCAACCTTTATTATTACTTTCTTTTTGGCTTCATCCAATTTATCGTGAAACTAATATTAATCAAAATATTCGTTTAAGAGTTTTATGCTATATTAAAGGTTGGCTTATTTATTATTATAAAGTATGGTTTGAAAAAGAACCTTAACGAATACTTCTTGAATTTGAAGATTATAATGAACAAGAATTTCCATATCAGGTTACAGTTTATAATCAATTTCAAGGTAATGTATTGAAGTATTGGAATTCAATTGGAAAAGATGAAAGTGAACTTGCTTTAGTAGCATGTCGAATTTTTGGTGTATGCATTAATTCTGCATCTGTAGAACGATTATTTTCATCTATGAAAAATATACATAGTCCTAGCCGTAGCCGTCTTAAGGTTTAATTTTATTTATATTATATTATTTAATTTATTTAAAATCAAAATTTATTAATA